AAACTAAACATCCTACAGTATTTTTAGTCTTTATTTTACAGTTAAAATATATGTTTATTAAAGTCTAATACTACAAGTAATCGTGGATCCCTTTAAGGGTCTGTTCTCAATGTGGTTTTGACTTCGACATCAAGTATAAAGCCAGGAAAAACAGTATTATGTTTATTAGAAGTAAGGAAGACAAGCATCTGATCATCCCTGAATTGTCCTTGTCTGGTACTGTTCTCAACATGAGGCTAAACATCTGGGACATCACATAAATGATGACCTGTCTGACGACTGTAACATCTACAGACAGTATGTGCAAGCTAATAAGCCTTTTGTACTCCACTTTACACTGGCCATCTGTGGCGACAACACAAAAGAAGCAGCATGCAAAAACTAGAGGCTGCTAGTTAAAGTGCCTAGTTGGTGTAGTGCATGTGCAGATTATCTGTCTCATGCAATAATATCATTGTAATTTCAGTTAAACCTGCACTGAGTACAGTAAGATTTACATCACGATAGTGGCACTACTGGCATCATCGTTTATTTGTGACTCAGAACAATATGATATGCTGTGGTTTTTACATTTTTGTTTCTTATTTTTAAAACTGTTTATCTTATTTATCTTTTGTATGTGTTTAATTTATTATTATTATTTTTACTATGGACCATTTTAGGTGTCTGGAATAAAGAAATGCTGCTGCTGCTGATAAATAACATGTTTTTAACCCCTCCAGGTTCAACACTTTTAAATTTCTTATTCAACCACTGACAAACACAAACACATTGTTTTTCATGCTGTATCTTACGATCCTGTCGTTTTATATTCACACCTAAACACTGATGAACACTTTGGGGCAGTGCGAGTTTCAGCTCAAAGGCCCTTCAGAGGCTGAGGACAGAATCCAGGACCCTCAGACAGGAGGTGGACCTCCTCCAGCTGGCTCTCAGCCTCCTCAGTGTCTTTATACAGACGTTTGTTCCTTTTTATTAAAGCATCATGTAGGTTTTTATAATGGTTTTGGATTTACCTTTTTATTTAAAAAGAAAAACACAAAAATCCATTGAAATTTACAACTTAAAATGACAATGGTGATAAAAGGATAAACTTCATCAAAAACCAACAACTAAAGCTGAGTCTCAACAGAAAACAGGAGTCATTCTGATGCAGCTCCTTGTACAACTAAAACTAGAATGTCCAGAACCTTTACTTTGATCTTTTTATAAAAACATGTTCTATGTTTTATTATGAAAATAATTGATTTTATTATAAAAACCTTCATTTTTATTTATTTTTTATTTGTGTGAATAGGTGGGTAAATGGGGGATATGAGGCCATCTGTGGGAGGAGTTGGTGCAGAGATAGGGACAGATAGTGGGCGGAGTCTTGCAGGGCTAGGGCGGGGTTTAGGTTTGACAGGCGTCAATAACTGAGCACAGATTAACAGACATTTTCTGCTAAATTTAAGTTAAAATGTAATTGAAAAGTTAATATTTTAATAATCAACTTCCTCTGTGTGTGTACGTGTGTGTGTGTGTGTGTGTGTGT